TATTATGTTGAGGAATGTCCCTTCTACTCCTATTTTGCTGAGAGTTTTGATCAGAAATGGGTGTTGGATTTTATCAAATGCCTTTTCTGCATCAATTGAGGTTGTAAATCTTAATGGAAGCAAATTGCTTCATCTTTCTCCTGTGGAGCGGCTGGTGGGTTCAAACCACCTACCTTTGGTTTAGCAGCCGAGCACTTTAACCACTGCACCACCAGGGCTCCTAGGGATTATAAATGGTGGGAAAATACCTAATCCTAGAGAGCAGAGGGAGAAGGCACTGGAGCCAAGGCAAATTGGATTCCAGTTTCCTATTAAGCAGGGAGCTCACTATAGCCCTGCATTCTGATTGAGCCCACTCAATTGGGTCTCGCTCCTTCCACTTCTAAAGCTACATGAAGTATCTAGCATTAAAATCTTGAGCACATGTGCTATGCTCAGTTTTAGGTTTCAGTCAACAATGGCCATACTGCATAAAGTTAGAACAGGAAAGTAGACACTCGGAGCCCGTGCACAGACACGGAGATAGAGCTCTCTCAGTGGTGGTGGGCACATTATGCAGGTGAGACCTGCACTGGTATGAAGACTCATGGTGGAGATGGGGTTCTTAATTTTTTCAAGCAAAAAGGTCAGTCCAATACCGTGAAAAAAGAGGCTTAGGTGACGTGTGCACATACATGTACACATACTCTCACCCCAAGAACTAGCTCTCCATGTGTAATTGACTCTAACTCTTTACTAGGAAGCCCTACAGGGCAAAGCATGCACTTAGTTTACTGGCACCTGGGTCCACCCACAGAAGCCTTAGAGGAAGGCCTTGGTGATCAGCTTCCAAGGAGTCAGCCCTTGAAACCCCTCTGAACATTCTACTCTCACACACATGGGGTCTTCATGAGTTGAAACTGACTCATTGATAACTGGTTTGGTTTTGGTTTAGGGTTCCTAGACATGGCCTCAGGTCCTGGTGCAGGAGAGGACTCCAGGTCCGATCTTCCCCTCAACCCGCAGCAGCTCTGCTTTCATTTGCTTTATACACACAGTAGAGGGTACAGACCAAATTGCCCACAGGGATCAGGCAGGTAACAAAAAGGGAAGAAGCGATCTTACAGGGATTGCTCTGAACTGGAAGAGGATTCTCTGAGGGGCAGGAAAAGCTGCTACTCAACTCTTCATCTGTGGGTGTTGCCTTACACTTCTGGGGTGAGCAATCTGGATTTTTTTTTATGAAATCCAATTTTTAATTTGAAATTTAAAAATAATAACATGTAAGAAGGATGACTGCAGGCCATTTTGGTTTGTGGGCTGGCAGTTAAGATTTAAATTTTCTTTGCAAAATCCCAGTTCTATGCTAGTTCAGCCTGATTAAATATACTTTGGTGGAGAACTCATTACCTCCTGAGTCAGCCCTGACACGGAGCGAAGGACCCTTGATCTCAGTCACTCAACAGGCATTTACGAGGCACCTGCTCCATGCTATGCATTTTCTACCATTAGGTTCTCATTTAGGCAGCAGTGCAAATGGAGTGAAATTGGGTGAGCCTTGCTCTGGGTAAAGCATGCTGGAGCCTAAGCGTTTCCTTCTTAACACTGTTTAATGCAGAAGCCTCAGGCTTAGTGGCTTAGTAAACTGGGTTACTTGAAACGAGTTAATCCAGATGCTTCCACTGACCATAAACTGCTAACACCAGGTGACCTGGGTAACTGATTATCCCAGATTGTTTCCTTCCCAGGCAGAACCCTCTTGTACCATTAGTTCATGCTGGTCATTTTCAATGCAGAAACAATTCAAGAAGGCAGATGTTCCAGCCCCCCAAGCTCTGGGAAGTGGGAAGCATAATGATGGAATTACTCTCTTTTGCTTTGTCTTTGGCCAATGAGACGTGACTATACAGGTAAACTATAGATACCCCAGGTTTTGTCCTCCTGGAGGTACGTTTCCAGCTCATGGAATAAAGGTGCTTGGGGTGAAAACTCTTCCCTTCAGATGTCAGAGAGATTCTGCCTGAAGTGAAGGTTTTCACATCTTAGGAAAGCAGCTGAAGCTGTTTGTTGGGGTGGGCCCATTCCACAGATTCAGCTCCAGAATGATCGCCCAGTCCAGGTATCATAGCTTGAAGATGGCCGAGTATCAATAAAACCCCCACAATTTATTGAAAACAGGGTCACTTTCAGTAGCTCTGATAACAAATCAGCTCAGAGATACCATTACTCAGGAATATGTACAAAAGTCTCAGGAAAGGGAGTAAAGCAACTATAAGAATACAATCTGAACAGGACTGGTGCACTAGAACGATCGTGGAGAAGATAACACAAAGCATGACAAAGTGCCATTCATGACAAAACTGGTGTCCCTTCAAGCCTGTGCTGGGGGACTCTAAGTTCCCATATTCTTGGAACACCTTCCATGATTCTTTGAGGCAGAGGCTGGCTGGAGCACAAGGATTTCACTGCTGATTGTTGCTAACTAGTCCACACCCAGGGCACAGGTGAAACACACAGAATGAGGCTTCCCCAGTAGATACCCGCTCCCCAACAGAAGTGCTCTTTGCAAAGTTGTGGGGACCACTGGACCATGGATGGCTTAGAAAGTCACACTGTAGCAAGTCACACAAACATTCTAGACTAATCTAAGCCCTCAAACCCCTTACCCAAATTCCCACTACTAAAGAGTTAGAGAAACCAAAGACGGAAACTGCCTCAAAACTAGTATTTGGTCTTCTGTAAACAGGGATAAATACAAAACATTCTCCTAAGAGCTAGAACTATTGGGCATGGCAGGTTAGAGTCATCGCCCCATGTAGTAGTCAATACAGGAGAAAGAGGCTGTGGGAAGTGTGAGGTGTGTGTCCCATGGCTGTGGTCACTGCTCTGGCATGTTCTGTTCTGCTGTCCAGGCCTGCTTGGTCCAGTCCCTCCCAACGTCCTGGATCTGCCCTCCCATGGCCTAGAGCGGGCACTTCGGAGGCTAAGCCTCCCAGCCTCAAGCATACACAGAGTGGAAGTGTCAGACGTAGAGTGCTCTCTGATGAGGGGGCATAGGCAGTCTTCTCAGGAATACGAGGTTCTTCCATGCCACGTCCACTGGAGGTAGGGCAGGGCAGAAAGGATGCTGACTTACAGGGGGAGGCAGCTTTGGAAGCATGAGGGAGAGTTCAGCTGGGAGAATGAGAGGCAGTTCTGATTTGGCAGTGTCTGGGGTCACCTGGGTTGGGAGGTAGGAGACTAGAAGCAGTAACAAAGCTTTATCTAATGACAGGGAAGCAGTGTGTTTCCTGCTCTCCCTCTTCTTGAAGTTCCTAAGAGGATCACACTCAAACAAACAATAAGCCTGAAGGGAAGAAGTCTCCTGAAGGTCCAAGAGATCCTATTAAAAAGGTCCATCCTGTTTAGCTTCTTGGACTAGCAGCCTCATTTGTGGGACTGTATGCTGCTGCAGATCTGAGCGAGACGGTTCTGAAAACAAAAGGAGATAGGGAATTTTGAGAAGATGCTTGCCTGTTAGCCATTTAGTCTAGCTGGGTACCAGTGGATTTGGAGCTAGGCAGGTTTGAGAGGGAATCTCAGCCTCTCCAATCTCAATCTGTAACCATAAACCTTTCTGAACCTCAGCTTCTTATCTAAACATAAGAGTAAGTAGCATCTTAAATGAGATAGCGAAGGTATAATCTGGGAATAGTAATGCTATTATCCAGTTGGATGATGACTGCCACAAGATTTGGGTGGCTGGCTGTGTGTGGATCTTGGCGCTGGATTTATGTTTAGTAGGACATGTCTGGAAAGCCAGCTCCATCTTTGTCCCCTTCTTTGAATGTACCCTTCCCAGACTGCACAGAAGGGTGGGCCCTAGGCATCCATATCTGGACTAAGTGCTCCCATTCACCACCCAAGACCATGGCTGACTGGACCAGGGATGGCCATGTGACCAAAGGGGAGCCAAACTCATCCTCTTTTGGTTTAAAGTTAGAAGCTGGAGCTCCGGCTACCCAAAGCCACAAACAGACTAATGTTAAGGGAGGTCAGAACCAAGATCCTTGTGGACATTATCTGCCAAAGAGGAATGGAGATGTGCAACACAGACGAGTGCATAGACCCTAAAGACAGAGATGGCGAAGAGGTGGGTAGACTGGAGTGGCAGTGGCCCTATACTTCTGCTGAGGGCCCCCTTCTCTAGAAGCCTGGTTGTTTCGCTCTCTTTCTGAGATTCCATACAACACTCCTCACCTCCTTCCTAAAACTACTGTAAGTTTCAGTTCCTGGCAGTCAACTGTGCTGTAAATAGCCTGGCACTAACTGCCTGCAGGAGGCAGAATTTTCATTCTCTTATGGAACTTCTGTGGTAGGCAATCTGGGATGGACCCAAATTCAACACTGAGTTAGGGGCAGGAATGTTGCTATGAAAGTATGTTAACAGTCAGAATCCCTTGGGAAAATTAGGCAATACAATTCTTATAAAGCATCAGCCCAGACCCCAAAAGCAATCCTAAGTAAACCTAAACCCAGAAAGTGATTGGAAGCATCCTGTGTGTGGAGATGAATAAATGAGACTTACAGAAAGCTTCTTAATGTTTCCCAAGGCCTCTGGATCCAGCTGTGTGATATCGATCCTCCTCAAGTCACTGGCCAATAACCGCATGCTCTATAAGGAAGGAGTGGGGGTTTAGCTGGCATGCCCTTTACAGTGGGAACCTCCATCCACCAGCCCAGGGTGTCCAAGGGGGTCTCCTTGATATTCTGATTTGGTGAAAGCCAGTGGCTGGGATGGAGAAATAGTAGGGCAGGCAGGAGTTGGATGTTAGCTCTAAGGGGACAATGGTATCAGTCAGCGGCTAGATCATATTAGCTGAGAAATTTCCAGCAGGTCACATCCAAGATAAATCATCATAGAAACTGAGGTTGCAACTTGCTCATCTCAACCCAGAACAGGGTCCAGCCTGCTTCAGAGCTCCTTTAAATTACACAAAGCCCTTTCAGTTACGTACTCAGGCCCCACTTTTCAGACTATGTGCATATGCCAAAGGCTTCATCCTCTGTACTCCCCAGAATGCCTGTTACTGCACCTATCGCACGATGCTACAGTCAACTGTGAGCCTGTCTATCTTGGCCACTAACTGCTATTCAAGGGCAGGAAGGATGTTTTGGACATCTTGGGCCTGCTACAATACAGGTGGGCAAACGTTAGCTGATGAGTAAATGGAACCTAGAGCTGGGGCAAGGAGCCCCTGGAAGAGAAAACTCGGTTCTGGGTCCTGAAGAGCGTGGAGACCAGGGCCCATGCAACTGAAAGGACTTTGAGGGACAGAAGTGGGTTCTGGGGGAGAAGAAATGCCTGACAACATAGCACACTGTGACCTGGCTTCCATCTGATATACTTTTACCTCTCCACCTCCCACTGGCACAGTGAGGAAAATCTCTTTGCTGTCGGCAAGGGGGCTGCCGTTTACTGAGATATTGTAAATCCGCTCTCTGGCTGCTGGAGTGCGCAGACCTGGGGTCTTGAAGATCCTGTAAAGTGGAAAAATCTCTGTGAAGATGACTTGGCAATAGGAGTGACAACTAGGCTCTTCCAAACTCCATCTGGCCTCAAGTAACATTTTTAAGAAGGCAAGTTCTAAATTTGGCGGAAAACTGTTTTTAAGCGTAATGACTAAACACAGCTGGAGAAAGGAGGCTGTAATTATCAAACATACATCTAGCAGAAGTTAATCTGTAGCCATGTAAATGTTAGCCCCATATGGATGCCAGCCATCCACAAAGCCAGAAATAAACTGTGGTTAGTGTGTTTCCAAGAGTACCTGAGTGCTTCCATCAAGAGGAATTGTCGAGGGTCAAAGGGGAATGAGTCAGAGATGATTATTATATTAATCCCCAAAATGTTAAGGCAGTTAAATGCTGCTACCAGTTTTCCCCTAAATGTTTATTTTACTGTTGTGAAAAGCAGTCTTTAAGAAGAGTGGGAATTTGCGTAGAAAGTAAACCTTCCTTACCCTCCCATCCCAGAGATAACCACTTCTTCCTGGCTCCTAGAGGCAATCCAATGTTTCTTTTAGACACTTTCTTTGCATATAAAGGCAAATTAGATCTCACACCACACCCGTTCTGCAACATGCTGGGAGATGCTCTAAGATCATGAAGCCCTTACCCTATCAGCAGAAATGATCCATGTCTTTTCTTTTTAGTGGCTATATAGTATTCCCTATGAAAATTATTGTAGTCTATTAGCAATGCAAATGGTTAACATGCTGTGCTGCTAACTAAAAGGTTGAAGGTTCAAGTCTACTCAGAAGAGCCTTGGAAGAAAGGCCTGGTGATCTAATTCCAAAATATTAGCCACCGAAACCCCCATGGAGCACAGTTCTACTCTGAGACATATGGGCTCTCCATGAGCCAAAATCGACTTGACGGCAACTGGTTTTGGTATGAAAGGTAATAACTTGTGTTGCGATAACATCCTTATTCATGTTGCTCTTACAAAAGGTGGTTTCAGTTTTCACTCCAAGGTTCACAAGGGGAACAGGAAAATGCCTACCCATTTAATGGGGGTGGGTGAGTGAGGGATACAGCTCTCATCAGAATTGTTGTTGTTGTTAGAAGAGGTCAAATAAGTCACATAGAAGTCTCCCCAGAGAACATTCTCTTCCCCACCATCATATCAAGAATTCTTTTTGCTACTAAAAATGTGTGAGAATGTAAACTCATCCTTGGGAGCAGCAAATGTCAGGAAGCCCAGACACTTACCCTCCTCTGCAATTGCTTGAGAAGGCTAAGGAATCAGGCCTGTTTTCTTAAACACTCCTTCTCTGGTGAATGTTTCATTCTGGGCTCCCACCAAAATCCAAGGGCTGCTCTCAGTACTCACCTTGAATCAAACCTTGGTGTCACACCTGGAGTGGGTTTTATCATGGACAATTCCAATCGGCTCATAGCTGGGGTAACAGTGTTACAACGGCTTGACCTATAGGTAAGAAACAGCCATGAGGTACGCCCCCCCCCCCAGGCCCAATGACAGCAGCAGCAGAGCAAGCTAACACTTGGAGAGAACACTGTGAGACACTGTTCTGAGCACCCTGAATAGATTAACATGTAACCCTCCTAATAGCCTGATGAGGGAGATACAGTCTCTGCGTTTCTTAACTCGCCCAGGATCACACAGCTCATCAAGGTAGAGTCATAACTTTGAACCTAGGAGACAGCCCCTTAACGATCTGCAGGCCCCTTCAGCTGGAGTTCCTGTCCTCTTGCTAGGTGGCCAGTTACTGTCCTGCTAGCACTGCACAGGAAAGGATAAGGAGTCCCTCCTTCACAGACACACATCCAGTGACTACTTCTCTAAGCTTGTTTGAGATGTAGCATTCCCTGAAAAATGGTTTAGTAGAGCCCAGCATCATCAGTTCAAGCCCATGATGATTCTTTACTTAGCAGGATCAGGAGGACATTTCAAGAAACTGACTAAAAATATGTAGCAGCCACCTTATGACTGATAATAGGGTAGCTCTGCACTATCAGGCAACTAAACATAATCAGCAGCGTTCACCATATTTTTCTGGGCCTGACTCTTCCTGTCTGAATTTAAAGTGGGAGAATGGTAAAGACAGGCAGAACTGGAGAAGGTGTTGGGCTAGAGGGTGAGACATTTCTAGAAGCCCCTCCAGCTGGCTCAAGGAGTCGACGATTTTAAGCTCTATTTGAATGTTAGCACAAAAGCCCTTTTCACCCCCTATTTCAGCCACGATGTAGGTGGCTCTCCAATGAAACCAAGAACACGTATCCAAATCTGGAAAACCTATTACCTTTTGCTTTTGCCTTTTCCTTGAATGGACTGGGCTCTCTTCTTGGATGGAGGACACCTTTTCACCTGAAATCACAATCAAATGAAATGGAGGTTACAGAAAGCCCAGAAGAGGGGATGGTGAGGAAGGGTTAAAAAAAAGGAGAAAGGGGAGAGGACAGAGGTCTCTGGACAAGAAAATAGTGAACATAAAGAGAACTGTCTCATGGCATTGAAGGATTTAAATAATTTAGAACATAATTGATCAACTAAGGGTTTATACTGGCTGGGTCTTTAGAATATAGGATGTTGGCCAAGATTAAAGATCAATCTGTTTTGAACTCATGGCAGCCTGGTTCCCCTCCCCTCACTTCACAGACAGTGGTGCAGTGATGGTCACTAAGGATATCCTGGGTGCCCAACCAAGGGACCCTCCGCAGTCCTTACCCTTCCTGACAAGAATCACTCCTTACACCCTGGCGATTCTCTCCTCCTTTGTTCTAAGTTTCATCCTCCCCACTTCTCTGGCTGCCCCCCTGCCATCTGTCCCACTAGCTCCTCCTTCCACATTCACTGCTAGGGGTCCACCCTCAGCCTTCCTCCCTCATGTCCCTGTACAACCTCACCTACACCCACGCTTGGACAACCACCTGAAGGTCTAGGAGTCAGTGTCTCTCTCATCTCTTACTTCTCCCTGAGCTCCAGCCTCTGCTGAGCCCAGATGTCCTGGCAAAGTACTGAGCACTCAACATGTCACATACACTCTTCCTTTTGTTTCCCCTATCTTACTAGATGGCAGCTGCCTAAGCCAGAAACCATTTGGTCATCTTGGGCTCCTCTGCCAGTCCTGCTTTTTCTCCCTGTTAAATTGATCTCAAAACCATCCCTTATTTTTATACAGTTTATACAGTGCCAGTGTCTCAGCTTAAGAAGTACAACAGCTTATGGGATACTGGGCTTCTATATGAGGTGATAAAAATTATCTGTAGATAGTGGTGACAGTTGCATAGCATACGAATGTCATTAACGTCACTGAATTGTACGTTTAAAACTGGTTGAAACAGCAATTTTTTGGTGATACGTGTTTTACCACAATTTAAAAAATGATACAAACACTGGTTTTAAAATTTTCACCTTTGCTTCAAATTAATGACAGAACCACATTAAAGATGTAAGATATACAGATTTTTCTTAAACAAAACAAAACAAAAGTACAATAGCCTCCCGATTGGTTTCCTTGTCTCTAATTCTACCCTGCATCCCATCAATCCCAAACATTGTTGTTCTGAAATACTGATCTGATTGTATCTCTTCCTGTTACTTATTTGATGAAATTCAAACTTCCAAGCTTGTCATACAAGGACATATATTATCTGGTCTCTACACAAAGTATCCTCACAGCCTGTACCCCAGCCAAACCAGCCTGCTCCCTGTTCCTTGGGTGGACAGGACACTTCCACCCCTCCTCCCAGGAGTCTCTTCCCTTTCTTCTCCAGCTGGTGAAATCTTACCCACCTTTAAAGGCCTGGCGGTATCCTGATGGTATAGTTGAGACTCAAGTTTCTTTTGTGTTCTATGCACTTCGTGCCTGCCTCTATTATCACCCTTGTCATTTACCTATTTAAGGTGGGATCTTCTCTTCTAAACTGTTAACTCTGGTGGTGGGGGGGGGGCAGCAGCGGCAACAAGTGTATCAGAAATCTGTATTTCCTCAGGCCTCGTGGCCCTCATCCACCAATTTAAGGGCCTACTTACTCTTGTAGTTTGAAGAGTCTTATTTTTATTTTCTTCTTCTTCTGCTATCATCTCATCCACTTGTATTACTTTTCGTGCTAGAGGAAACAGTTTAACAGTGTGATATTTCTGACGGGAATAAAGCTTCATGCATTCGTATCTCTTATAAGGAATAAAGCTTATGCAATCTTAGGCTATAATCAAGAAATAGACCCAAAATGGAGAATACAACTTTTTCTAAGAGAGTTTAGACAAAAGACACTAACCAAGGTGTTTGATGCCTGACAGAGACAGCCCAACATTCTGATTCAGAGCATACTTGGCTCCAGACTTGAACTTGTGTCACGCTACCATTCACTAGATCATGTAGCTTTAATTACTCTGTGCCTCAGTTTCCTTACCTCTTTAAAAGGGAGTAGTTGCTATATAGAGACATTGCGAGGCTTGCAAATGTGAGTTCCACAAGAGTATTATTTTTACTCTTGTATCCCCAAGCCCTAGAACTGTGCCTGCACATAAGAGCTCATTAAATATTTATGGAATGAATGAATTCAAGGTCCTCTGGGTACCTGACACAGACGAAATATTCTCAACATGTCATAATAATGGTAAATTATCATTACATTAAGGAGCTCTGGGGGTGTAGGGGTTAAGGCATTTGGCTGTTAACCACCAGCCACTCCATGGACAAAAGATGAGGCAGCCTGTTTCCATAAAGATTTACAATCTTGGAAACCCAACGGGGGTTGCCATGAGTCGGAATCAACTTGATGGCAGTGAGTTTGAGTTTTTTAGTTATCTTTACAATCATCTCTTAGCAGGAGGAGTATGAAGGATGTTTAGGACTGAGGATACTAAAGGAAAAATAAAAAATTGTAATATTTAAGAGCTTGTCATATAGAAAAGGTTAAAATGGTTCTACAGGATACCAAAAAGCAAAACTAGGGTCAAGATGTAGATACCACAAGGAAACTTTGGCTCAAAATTGACAATTTCTGATAGTCTTAGCTGTACAGTGAATAAAAAGTAATGAGTGTCCCATTGCTAAACATGTACAACCAGAATCTAGACAATCTTGAGCAGGAACTCTGCAGAGAAAATTCATACATTTAATGATGGGGAGAGAGATCGGCCTAAACGACTTTTATTTAGCTGTAGCTCTGACACATGAAACAAGGGCACAAAACCAATTTCAACTGGGTTGATATTGGTCACGATGTGTTGAGTTCCCAGAAGTGAAATCAGAACACCCCTCCCCCACCACATCCCTCCCCAAGCAAGCAAAACTGGTGAACTCAGAAACTGATGAGATTACCTTAAGTGCAGAAATGACCCAAAGTGGCCTAAGAGATTATAAACATGTGACTGAGGAACTCTGGGCGCACCCAAGTCCAATTACATCATCACAACCTCGGGGAGGTAGGAGTGAAATACGACGTTACAAAAAATACATGGTGCTTTCTTCATAAAAGACAGAACAGGAACTGGACAGCATTTTTGGCTCTGCCTAGTAGGGAAGGTGCTCTGGGGACAGCCATGAAATCCAGGCCATGAGGCAGGTCTGTTCTCACAACAGCCAGGTACAGCTTACCATTAATTCCACATCACAGCTCAATGTGGCCTGGGTCCACGCTCAGAGTAACCTACAAATCTTCCTTCCTATAAGACAGCATTTCTTGGAGTGTGGGATGTGTACTGAATGTGAGATGAGTTTACACGTATAGTTCACTGGACTGAGTAATGTGGAATTACACACTGAGAAAGTTATTCCTTTTACAATTTTCTTTCCATCCTTCTGATTACATCAGGAAGAGTCTCAAGTTTGGTATTACCATGTCTAACACCTCTCTAAATCTTGGTATCTTTGGTACAATGAAGTACTTAATAAGGCTCTTCTAGCCATAGTCTTTGTGACTCCCACCAGATGATTGGGTGGAACTATGCAAATCTGAGGTGTTTACAGCCTACCAAGGGGATTGGACAGCTTGTTAAAAATATAAATAAGATACATGGCACTTTGTGGGAGTAGAACCATGGAACCATGGAAATAAATGTATAGAACCCTAACGTGGGGATTGGCCCATTTTACCATCCCACTAGACTTAAATGAGCCATCCTAAAGGTGGAAAAGGAGGATCTCACTACCATCAAGACAGAAGAACCAGAGTGGAGTATGTTCCTGTGCCCAAGATTCCTGTGCTGGATCTCCCTGGCAAAGAGATGGCAGACAGACAGTGGTAGCAGAACAAAGAGACTCGCATGCAAGTGGCGGGCTTCCCAGTCCATGGAGGAGATAGCTGAGTGCCTTTGGGCAAAAGGCCTGCTGGTGGAGTGGGATGTCTCTCTGGGCATGGCAGAGCTAAAGGCCAGAGTGAAGTGTGCCACGGCTGAGAAGAAGCTGTCTTGATTGAAGATTGTATCCCGAGTACTCTGATCCTGAACTGTAACTGGTTACTTCCCTAATAAACCCTGTAACCATGAGCACTGTGTGAGTTCTATGTGGCCAATGCAACGCATTATCAAATCCAGCAGAGAAGCAGAGTGCTGCGGGAAGGAAAGTTGGTACCAGAACTGGCAAAAAGGTGGGAGGATGGCAGCATGTCTGACCTCTCCCTCCCAGGAATCAACCTTGGGCTGATCCTGATGATGGTGATTCTGTCTCCCCCTTGTAGAGTTTGAGGATGTCTGGAACAGGTGCCAAGCTCTTTTTTGCATTATCCAAACAATGACTGGTTTCTAGCTACAAGGTGTGGAATCCCCTTGCTCAATCTGGCCTGAGCCCATGCTAACTAATAATTTGGGTAAATAATGTGGCTTTGGGCCCTGGTGCCTGAGATGCACCACACCTGAGGCCAATAAGTGGGGGCTGACCAGACCAAAGCTGCAGGAGGCATGATGTAATCTATCACACCACGTGATGATAAAAGCCTGGGAGGGCTAAGGTGCAGTATAATTTTTGGGTTGGTGAGAGCCAACATCTGCTCTTGGTACGGTAAGGACATCCTGTGGGGACATAGAAGCTCTGTGCTAAGACCCCTCCTGGACCTTGCTCTTTTCTTTTTTTTTCTGCTAGACTGAAAATAGCCCTTTCCTTGGAATCCTTGGAATCTATGAGTCATTTCAATTATTGGACCTAAGAAATAGGGAAGGAGCCAGTACCTGATGACTTAGCAGGGATGAAAGAGAAAGAGCTGTGTGGAGCAGCTGGGGTCTGGACTGAGCAGGCAAGGGAACCTGAGATTTCTGTAGGATACGGTTGGTGTGTACAGTGGGATTTATTACCCACCACACATTTGGCATCAGAGATGGGATGATCTCAGCCTCCCTCGACTGGTTTGACACTGATTTACAAACCAGCAGTGTTTTTTCTTTCTCCCCTTTCACTTGTGCTCATATATCAGTTATACATCAGTCTCTTGAGACAATACAATTAACTAAATGTAGTGGCCAAAATCAAATTTCTGTATTTATAAGATTGAAGGCTAGACATTAGAGAAGAGACTCCACCAATGAGGTCCTGCCTGAGCAGCCAACCAACCACGCTGGACTCAGTGCTCTGAGTTCAACAAGGGGTTTTGAAAAGTACTCACTTTTGGCAGATTTTAGGGGTGTCTGAATAGCTTCTGCTGTTAGTTTGTTTATTTCTGTGATATCAAGGTCAGCCTGTGATAAAGAGCCAGAAAACACCAGATCCAGCAAATATGAGGAATGATATTTAACATTAACTCATTTAAAAAAACATAATATTTGATATACATACAAGAATGTCACACATTAGTTACAAACAAAATATAAGACTCCCATAAATCCACCATCCAATCCAAGACCTAGAATATTGCTAGTAACTTGCTTCTACCTATGTATTAAGGAGCCCTGGTGGCACAGTGGGTTAAATACTAACTGCCTGCTAACCCAAAAGTTGCCGGTTTGAACCCACCAGCCACTCCAAGGGAGAAAGACATAGTAGTCTGCTTCCATAAAGATTACAGCCTTGGAAACCCTATGGGGCAGTTCTACAATGTCCTATAAGGTCGCTGAGTTGGACTCAACTCAATGGCAATGCGTTTGATTTTTTAGCTATGTATTCCTTACCTGCCTATTTCCTTATCTCTCCTGCACTGGTGGAAATGTTATCTATGCTGTCCAATACTGTAGCCACTAGTCATGTGTGGCTATCGAACACTTAAAATGTGGCATGACTGAAGAACTGAATTTTTAAAAAATTTTTTAAATAATTTAAATAGTTACATGTGGCTAATGTATAATGTAGTGTAGCAGTTAAGACATTTGGCTCTCTTAAAAGGCTGGTGGCTTGAAACCATCTGCTCCATGGAAGAAAGACGAGGCAGTCTGCTTTCATAAAGATTTACAGCCTGGGAAACCCACTGGGGGTCGCTATGAGTTGGAATCAACTTGATGGCAGGGAGTTTAATTTTTGGTTTTGGAATGTATTAGGAGTCATGGTGGTACAACGGTTAAGCACTTAGCTGCTAACCAAAAGGGTTGTGGTTTGAACCTATTCAGTGGCTCTGGTAACCTGCTGTCATAAAGATCAGAGCCAAGAAAACCCTATAGAGCAGTTCTACTCTGCCCCATGAGGTATCTGAGTCAAAACTGACCTGAAGGCACTAACAACAATGACAGTGGCTAATGTGCAGATCTAAACCCTGTATTTTGCTTCCCATCTCACTGCCTTCAGTCCTGATACTGACGCTTGGAGGAAGGAGGCAAGTAAGGGAAGGGTCAGTTAAGGTGGATGGTCCTGAGAGTCCTAAGCAAGAGCAGTTTCTGCAGTATGACATGATAAAGCAATAGTCTCTTTGTCATCCAGCAGGTTAGGCCACAGTATAATGACCCAGGAGTTTAAAGGAACTTAGGCTTAAGGCTCTCTATTTTCCTCTACAGACTTTAGGGCAAGGGGCTGCCAGGAACCTGCCAAAAACAGAACCGCCTCCCTTCTTAGAGCTTAAGGATGTTTGGGCCTCATGTACTCAACATATGACACAATTATAACTTTTCAGTTGACATGAACAGCTAATGTCCCCTATGGAACCTTTCACAGTAAATACCCACTGGTTGGATTTTGTGACTGGACTATAGACATAATCAACTTAAAAAGAGGACAAGTCACTTACTGTTGCTGCCTCTTCCAGAGCCTGCTTGTTTCCTCCAAGGGCTTTAAAAAGAACATGTTATTTAGTTATTGAAGATTTTAACCATAATTCATCTTCCCTAACGTTATCAGTTCTTTCTAAAACTGGACCAGATTAAACCCTTGATCCAACATGCCAGGGTCTTCACAATCTAGTCTTTCTCCAACCTTGATTCTTCCTAATGACCTACTCTATTATTATTAAGGATTGAACTATGTTCTCCAAAAATGTGTTGTAAATCTTACCCTCTTTGCTTATGTTTATAATCCCATAATGGGTTGTTCATTATGTTAATGAGACAAGATTAGTGCAGGGTGTATCTTCAGTCAATCTCTTTTGAGATATAAAAGAGATTAAACTAGAGAGCAGAAGCAGATATAGGGGAAGAGAGAGATGCCAAGCCACATGAAGATCTCCCAGGAGCAGAAGCTCAAAGAGACAAGAACCTTCCTCCAGAGCCAATAGAGAAAGATTTCCCCTAGAGCTGGCACCCTGAATTTGGACTTCTAGCCTTCGAAACTCTGAGAAAATAAATTTGTTAAACCAACCCAGTTGTGTTTCTGTTATAGCAGCACTATAGAACTAAGACTTCTATGTTCCACCACACCAAATTCCTCCCCATTTCTCAAATGTGCCACTGTCTCTCATAATTAAGTGCCCTAGTGCTTATTTTCTCTGTCTGGACTACTTCTCTACTCTCAGCAAACTCCTAATTCATCCTTCTCAAATATCACCTCAACAGCTGGTTCTATGTCCCAAGCATTCCACTCACCATGTCTCAATCCTCACAAACCTTACTGTACAGACAGGGGAACAGACACCAGAGAGATATAGTATGATTAAGTAACTCAAGGAAGATCAGAGAGCTGGAGTAGGGAAGAAATGGAATTTCAACTTTGGTCTGCCTTCATCCCAAAACGGTTCATTTTTTCTCTCACAGAAGGTTGCTACAAAGTGCTGACTTAGTGGCTCACCCACTTTCTCCCGAACAACTAACTACCCAGAGCTGTTTAAGTGTCTGCCCTTGCCTCGAGTGTTAATTCCTTGAGGACAACAATAATATCCACAGTTGGGAAGAATCTGGCATACAGTAGGTGGGTAGTAAATGCTCGATGAATGAAATGGTCTTTGCAAGATTTAGATGTAAAATTAAAGTTAGGTTAAGTCCTCCTGCTAGACACTCTCATAATATTCTTTATAATAGTCAAGAACTCAGGCTTTGGAATCAGAATACTTGGGTTGAAACAGACTCTTCAACTAACTAGCATATGAGACCTTAAGCATAGTAAAGTAACTACCCTCTCTGTGCCTTAATCTTCTCCTCTACAAAATAGGGATAATATTAATCTGTAAAACATTTAGTACAATGCCTGTCTGGTATAGGAAGCACTACATAAAAGTGCACACTGGCTGTTGTTGTTAGGTGCCATCGAGTCAGCTCCGACTCATAATGACCCCGTGTATAACAGAATGAAACACTTCCTGGTCCTGTGCTAGCCTCACAATCCTTGCTAATTAAGTGCCCTAGTGCACTTAATAAACCTGAACCCATTGTTGCAGCCACTTTGTCAATCCATCTTGTTGAGAGCCTTCCCCTTTTTCCCCCGTTGATCCTCCACTTTACCAAGCATGATACCCTTCTCCAGGGAAGGGTCCTTTCTAACAACATGAGCAAAGTAAGTGAGACGAAGTATGGCCATTCTCGCTTCCAAGGAGCATTCTGGCTGCACTTCTTCCAGGACAGATCTGTTCGTTCTTTTGGGAGTCCATGGTACTTTCAGTATTTTTACCAACACTTATAATTTTAATTATAAAATCATGTGTCAAATTTTTAATCACTCCTCTATGCTAACCTGTAAGCTTCTGAAGGGCATGGACAATGTCTGTTTTAATTTCCCAATGCATCTTAGCATAGTGCCTAAGGCACTTGACTGCTAACCAGAAGGTTGGCGGTTCAAATCCACCAGCCACTCCTTGGAAGGAAGGTTGGGCAATCTACTTCCGTAGTGATATCACCTCGGAAACCCCAGGAGGGGTGGCTATGAGTCGGGGCTGACTCCATGGCACATAACAACAACAACACATCTTTGGCACCTAGCATTGTGACTGACAAATGATCAATGAATATAATAATATGTATAGAAATGAGCAAATGAATTAATAAATAAAAGAGCCATTTGAAAAGATCATTAAATGTCTACTATTGTGAAGAGAAGAATCCCTGGGTAGTGCAAATAGTTAAAATGCTTGGCAGCTAACCAAAAGGTTAAGAGAGGTTCAAGTCAACACACAGGTGACTTGGAAAAAAGGCCAAACTATTGACCATGGAAAACCCTATGTAGTACGGTTCTCAGGGGCAGATTACTGAGTAAGCAAGGTAAGCACAAGCTTACTTGTGCTTACTAATCAGTAGTGAAGAATTTCACATGGGTTTTAACATATTGATGTGGTTAAATCCATGTGAAACTGTTCACTACCAATTAGTAAGTTAGCCTGTGCTCACCTTGTTTACTGGGTACTCTACCTGTCAGGGACTGTAAATTTGAAGAGGCTTTGCTTCTGTAGCAAGGTGCTGTGGAATTGGGAGAGAGACAGATGCCAGCATACCTAGCAGTAGAATGTCTGATGCAGTGAAAAAATGCAAAATTGTTCACTACAGATTAGTAAATAAGCACAAGTAAGCCTGTGCTTACCTTGCTTATTGGGTAATCCGACACTGACAGTTTTATTCTACACACATGGGGTCGCCATAAGTCAGACTTGACTTGGTGGCAACTGAACAGAACATACATTTCTACCCAGGAAGGTGGCTATATCCTGCATAATAAAAGAAAATGGAAAAATTAAAGCTAATCTAGCAGAAAGGGCAGCTTCCTGCATTTCCTTGGATGTTTAACAAAGGGGTGGGAGAATAGGCTAGGATTTTTCTCTGGACAGGAAAACTCTTGTCTCTTTACATTTCACAATTTGATTTGCCCATTTTTAAATCGGCAATTTCTATAAGCTGCAGAAAGAATTCCCAAGGGCTCATCTTTCCAGGTAACAAACCAAGTTGTTCATTCATTCATTCATTTAATAAAGTTTTATTGAGCACTTAGTCCCTGCAAGATACATTCCTAGCTACCGATAGTTTCTGTCCTGCCCTTGTGGAGCTTACAATTTTGGCTGCATATGTAATCAACAAAAATATGTGTGGAATAACAGAAGGTGGGCCATTAAAGTATATCCCCATTAAAAAAAAAAAAAAAATCTATCTATCTATATAGATAAACATACATGGGTAAAATATACATTAAGTTAGATCAGAAATCAGTGAACTATTCCCACCTGCTTTGGTATGGCCCGTGAGCTTAGATGGTGTTTTCACTTTCAAGTGGTTTGAAATATCAAGGAAGAATACTATCTCATGACATGTGAAATTCAGTTTCTGGGTCCATAAATAACGTTTTATTGGAATACAGCCATGCCCATTTGTTATAGCTCCTTCTGAGCTGTAAAAGCAGAGGTGAGTAGTTGCAACAGAAATCTTCTAAACCATAACGCCTAAAATATTTCCTATCTAGACCACTAGAAAAAAAGCGAGCCTATTCCTGAGTTAGATGATATTAAGCGCTATGGAAGAAAATAAAGCAAGGAGAGGAAATGGAAGTGTGGCAGTAGAGCTGCAATTTTCAACAGTGGTCACGGAAGACCTCACTAAAGATGACACTTGAGCAAGTTCTTTCTAAAGGCAGTCTGTAAACACAGAGGGTCTCCAGGCCAAGGCTGGGGAAACTCCAGCAGTTCTTACCGAAGTAGTCGAGCCAGTTCATCTCGCGCAGCGCCTTGGGGAGCCGCAAGATCTCGATGTTGTACAGGTTATCCATCTCCTTGAGGAGGTTCTGCCTGTCTGACTGAATTTGCTTGGATCGGATTTGCACTGCGAAAGGGCGGAGCCGATAGAGCACTGGTCACCCGGCGGGTGCATGGTGCTTGGAATCCACGCTCTCTGCATCCCAGCCGCCGGGACCCAGCGATTGTCCCAGGTAGGTGCCACGCCCGAGGTCCCGCCCCTTACCTTCGCGGTCGAAGTCCTTGAGAAAGGAAGAGAGCTTCCGGCTTCGCAACGAATTAGTCTTGGTCGCCCGACTGCCGCCCTTCTTAGCCGGAGCCATGTCGCTTCGGTGAAGACTGTGGGGAGCAGGGGGCCGAACGACAAGGGGTCAAGGGGGAAGAGGAACTAAAGACTCCGCAAAGGGAGAGGGCGGACGGGGACCCAAGGGAGCCAGTTCGGGAGCCCCGTCCTTTGAGGCCTGGGCATAACGAAAGCGCGAGGCATGTACCTGAAGGTCCCACAACAAGAGCTGAGACAGACTTCGCGGCTCCACCAGGGAAGGAATCGGCTCTTTAGCTAACCGGACATGCGACCGCCGCCACCAAATTCAAAATCAACTGCTACAGGCTGACAAATGAAAAGTCACCGTCTTAGAAAGGTCCCACAACATCCAATCACGAGGAAGCATCACAATCAGGCGGCCAGTCCACATGCAGAACTACAATACCCAGAAGTCATTGCGACTGAATACGTATTTCCGTCACGTAGAAAGCACGGTGGCCTGAGGTTGCGCTTTTGGGGCATGCGTGGAGATTCTGGTGAGTCCTTAATCTTTGGTTTCGGTAACCATAATTTTTCTCTCTGGTTTAGGGAAAGCAGTGGGTAGTCTCAGGAGAGGAGACAAGATTCCGGCTCTGGGAGTACAAGTCTAAAGGAGAGACAGAGCCTCGCCTCGGGAATCAGCAGTCTGAAATCCGAAACTGCTTATGCCCGGGGAAGAGGCTCCTCTGAGGGGTAGTAGAGAAACTCTTCCTGAGGTGGGAAATAAAGGCCCACAGCTCGGGACAGGAAAGGTATAGATAGCCTTACCTAAGAAAACTCTGGCTTGAGGGTGGAGGCTGAGAGCTTGTTCTAGCATGAGAACGGAAATAACTCCCACCCTTGACCCAGTACATCCCTTACTGACTTGGGCGCTAACGCTATTTTATTTTATTGTGATTTGAATGAAATTGGTTTTCCATTCAACAGTTCATACACGTTTTGTTACGTTCACTGCAGTCCCCACAATGTAACAGGACTCTTTCCACTTCCTTTCTGTGTTTCCCTTTTCCATTCGTCCTTCTTTCCTATCCCTTCCTGCCTTCTTTGCTTATCCCTAAGCAAATGCTGCCCTTGTGATCTCGAATGGTTGATCTAACAAGCGTGTACCTCCCTGGTGTTATTGTTCACCTTACAGTCCTGTCTGCGGTTTAGTTGCAAGTTGAGTCGTGGGGGTGAGTTCAGTTCCAGGTTTGAAAAGTGTTTAAGGACCATAGCCTCCGAGGTTCTACCAGCCTCTATTAGACCAGGAAGCCTGGTCTTTTAAATGATTTTTAGTTTGGTTCCCCATTTTTCTCCCACTCTATCTGAGACCTCCTATTGTGATCTTTTCTCAGAGGTCAGCAGTGATAGCTAGCACCATCCAGTTCTTCTGGTTGCCAAGTTGTGGAGGCTGGACTAATTGTTTCCATGCATCTTTGATTTTCTTCACTCTTTGCTGGGGGTGGGAGATACCAATAATTGCACCTTACGTGGCAGCTCACAAGCTTTTAAGATCCTAATGGCTACACACCAAAGTATGATGTAGAACATTGTCTTTCCGGACTGTGTTGTGTCAACTGACCTTAGTGTCCTCCAAGATTATGGTTCTGACCCCCACCCCACCAACACTGTCTTTGTTTGTTTCTGTTTATTTCCACAGAAGATGACTCAAGACCAGCCTTTGCTTGCTGTGCAGGAGGCCCTGAGAAAGTGCTTTCCTGTGGTGGAGGAACAGCAGGGCCTGTGGCAGAGCACACTGAGTGACTGCCAGCCCCTCCTGGTCTCCCTCAGCAACCTGGCAGAGCAGCTGCAGGCAGCACAGAATGTGCGATTTGAAGATGTGCCAGCACTTCGTGCTTTCCCAGACTTAAAGGAGCGGCTAAGGCGCAAGCAGCTGGCTGCTGGTGACACTGTCCTAGACAAGCTAGAGGAAAGGCTGTAAGGGGCTCTGTACTATCTTTCTTCATAGAAAAACCTTAAAACTGGGAGTTTCATAAGTGATGAATCTGTCAGAAGGGTGTTTTTCTCTTTCCTTGAGAGCATGGCACTTGAAGGTATCTCAGCTTCTCCTCTTTCCATCTGTTGCAGTGGGACCTCTGTCAAAAAGCCATTTTCTAGTTATTTCTGCATTCCAGTGACTAGAACTGCTAGTGGTGGACTTAGTTCTTCTTGTTGTTAGGTGCTTCCAAAACTTAGTAGAAGGCACAGAAGCAGAACAGAAAAGGAGTAGAGGTAGCTTATTAGCACTCTCTCTATATTTTTTTCCTGTCTTTTTTGTTTGGTAAAAAGTTTCTTGTTGTGGGCCATGAAATTGATTTTGACTCACAGTGACACCATGTGACAGAATAGGACTGCCCCATAGAGTTTTCTAGAATATAATCTTTATGGAAGCAGATTACCAGAGGTAGATCACCAGGTCTTTCTCCAGCCGAGCTGCTAGGTGGGTTCAAACCGCCAACTTTTGGTTAGCAGCTGAGCAATTACTGTTGCACTACCAGAGCTCTTTATGATAAAAAGTTACAAGGAGGTATATGTAAGCTTAGGAGCTCTGGTAGCGTAGTGCCTAAGGCACTTGACTGCTAACCAGAAACCTGGCGGTTCAAACAGCCACTCCTCAGAAGGAAGGTTGGCCAGTCTACTTCTGTAGTGATGTTGTTGTGTTGTTGTTAAGTGCCGTCAAGTCGTTTCCGACTCATAGCGACCCCATGCACAGCAGAACGAAACACTGCCCAATCCCGCGCCAGCCCCACAATCCCTGCTATACTTGACCCCATCATCGCAGCCACCGTATCAATCCATCTCGTTGAAGGCCTCCCCCTCTTTCGTCGACCGTCCACCCTACCAAGCATGACATCCTTCTCCAGGGAATGGTCCCTTCTTACAACATGACCAAAATAGGTGAGACGAAGTCTGGCCATTCTTGCTTCCAAGGAGCATTCTGGCTGCACTTCCTCCAGGACAGATCTGTTAGTTCTTTTAGCAGTCCATGGTACTTTCAGCATTCTCCGCCAGCACCACAACTCTGTAGTGATACTGCCTTGGAAACCCAAGGAGGGGTCGCTATGAGTTGGGTCCTGCTCGATGGCACATAACAACAACAACAAAATATGTAACTTAGTGCATTTCAGAGATAAGGGTTTTACATACATTACCTCATAAAATCTTTTTAACATCTCTGTGGCTTGACCTCACTTAATCCAATTTTAAAAGTACAGAAACTGAAGCTCAAGCAAGTTGCTCATGTCACACAGTGTATGTATGTGTGTGTGTTAGGTGCCATTGAGTTAGTTCAGACTCATAGTGAGCCTCTGTGCAACAGAACAGAACACTGCCCGGTCCTGCGCCATCCTCACAGTTGTTGCTGTGTTTGAACCCGTTGCTGAAGGCATTGTTTCAGTCCATCCCATTGAAGGTTTTCTTCTTTTATGCTGACCCTTTACTTTACCATGGACTAGTCCCTCCTGATAGCATGTCCAAAATACATGAGATGAAGTCTCACCATCTTCACTTCCAAGGAGCATTCTGGCTGTACTTCCAAGACAGATTTGTTCATTCTTCTGGCATCTGTGGCGTATATTCAATATTCTTTGCCAATACCCTAATTCAAAAACATCAGTTCTTTTTTGGTCTTCCTTACTCATTTCCTGGGAGCTCTGGTAGCATAGTGGCTAAGGCACTTGACTGCTAACCAGAAACCTGGCGGTTCAAACCCACCAGCCACTCCTCGGAAGGAAGATGGGGCAATCTACTTCCGTAGTGATATCGCCTCGGAAACCCAAGGAGGGATTGCTGTGAGTCAGGTCCGACTCGATAGCACATAACAACAACAACAACAACAACAACTCATTTCCTACCTTTTACGTGCATACGAGGTGATTGAAAATACCATGGCTTAGGTCAGGCATACACTGGTCCTCAAAATGACATCTTTGCTCTTTAATACTTTAAAGACGTCTTTTGCAGCAGATTTGCTCAATACAGTACATCATTTGATTTCTCAACTGCTGCTTCCATGGGTTGTAGATTAAAGTAAAATGAAATTTTTGTCAATTTCAATCTTTTCTCTGTTCATCATGATGTTGCTTATTGGTCCACTTGTAAAGATACTTGTTTTCTTTATGTTGAGATATAATCCATACTGAAGGGTGTTGTCTTTGATCTTCATTAGTAAGTGCTTCACATTTTCGCTTCCAGCAAGCAAGGTTGTGTTCTCTGCATAATGTAGGTTGTTAATGAGCCTTCCTCCAGTCCTGACACTACATTCTTTCTTATCTAGTCCAGGTTTGCAATTATTTGCTCTGCATACAGACTGAATAAGTATGGTGAAAGTTCACACAACTAGGAAATAGCAAAGCTGGGATTCTAATCCATGTCTGTCTGACCCCAAGGCCAGAGCCTTTAACCATCACTTTTTTCTGCTATACATTGGTGTCTCTGTTTCTAGCAGTAGCATGTCTCCAAGCTCTGATGTATACTAATTGTTAGACCCTCTATCTCAGAGTTACAGGTTATTGAGGCCATGTGAAATAGGGACGTATAACCTTTCTTTGGCCCAGAGTCTGTGCCGTAGTAGGCTAATAGGAAACAGTCAAAGGTGGGGATCATCATTTGTTCAAAGTACATGTGTTAAACACCTGTGGCATGCCAAGAATAAGGTACTGGGAATACAACAATGAACCAGAATCAATTCTAGTTCCTAGGAACTGACAGTCCAGTGGAACACATAGATAATCAGGCAATTAAATTATTTTGTGGTACATCCTAAAATAATGATAAAAACTGGAAATTGCAGAAACATAGAGATACTTAGGGAGCTCTGGTGGTATAGTATGTAAGGCATTTGGCTGCTAACCAGAAGGCTAGTGGTTCAAACCCACCAGCCACTCCTTGGAAGGAAGATTGGACAGTCAATTCCATAGAGATACCGCCTCGGAAACCCAAGGAGGGGTCGCTATGAGTCAAATTGACTTGACAGCCGTGAGTGAGTGAGTAGTTAGTTAGTTAGAGGTACTTAACCCAGACTGTGAGGAGAGGAAGAACTTCTGGGAGGAAGTGATGTCTAAGACCTGAAGGGTAAGCAGGTGCTAACTGTGTCAAGAGGTGAATAGGGGTATTGCTGCATAGATAATGGCTGGAACAGAGAAGGTGGTAAGAGATGAGAGATAAATCAGCCCATGTCAAGCCCATGGTACATGTCAGCTGTCAAGGACCATATAGTTTTAGATACTTTTCTTACTTCTGGATTGAGGATATTTTGTTGAGGGTTGCGGGAGTTCAGTTTGTGTGTCAACTTGGCTGGGCCTGGTTGAGTGTCTGGGCAGCTGGATGTAGTATTTCCCATGATGAGACTGGTAATCCATGGTGGAATCTATTGTGAACAGCTGAGTGGCTGCCTTAGGGAATGTGGTCTGCTTCCTGTATATAAGCAGAAGCCTTGGAGAATGGTCTCTAGCTTGTGGCATGCTTGGACCCTGCGTGTAGCCTGCATGTGTTATTATTCAGCAGCCTGCCATGCTCTGTCAGCCTTGGGACTTAAAATGGACTTAAGTTAATGGCCTGCCGTGTAGTTTGGTAACATCGGGACTGTGCCTTTTTTACTTGTTAACCTTGGGCTTCTCAGCCTCAGCAGCCAGCAGCTGTCTGAGTGAAGAAATGCCTCTAGCTCCAGTGGGCCAGGAGCAGGAGGCAGAGCTGGACCCCAAAGTCGAGAGGCTTTCACCCAGCCCCTAGAGCCTGGCACTTTGAACTTGGACTTAAAGCCTCCAAACTGTAAGAGAATAAATTCCTATTTGTTAAGACCATCCCATTTGTGGTATATTCTTGTCAGAGTGGTACTAGATAACTAGAACAAGGGTTAAGGGCAGAAATCTCCAAGAACCTTTTGCTTGGTCTTAAACACAGTCTCTGCATGGGTTTGCTCCTTAATCAGTACCCAGAAAACCCACTACCATCAAGTCGATTCTGACTCATAATAAAGAATTCCCTGGGAATAGGCATTATTCATAATAGCTAAAATGTAGAAACAACGTGCCCAAATGTTCATGAACTGATAAATAACACAATGTGATATATTTATACAAGGAATATTATTCAGCCATAAAAAGAAATGATATACTTGATACATTATGTTGTTGTTATGTGCCGTTGAGTCGAACCCGACTCATAGCGACCCCTCCTTGGGTTTCTGAGGCAGTATCACTACGGAAGTAGATTGCTCAACCTTCTTTCCGAGGAGTGGCTGGTGGGTTTGACCTGCCAGCCTTCTGGTTAGCAGTCAAGTGTCTTAGGCACTACGCTACCAGAGTTCCTTGATATATTATGAATGAACCCTTAAATCATTATGCTACATGAAAGAAGCTAGACACAAAAGGCCACATTACTTACTGTATGATTCCATTTCTGTGAAATGTTCAAAATGAGCAAATCCATTGAGACAGAAAGATTAGTGGTTGCCAGGGGCTGGACGAAGGGGTAGTGGGGAGTGACTGCTAATGGGTATGGGGTTTCTGTTTGGGATGATGAAAATATTCTAAAATTAGATAGGAGTGATGTGTGCATAACTCTGAATATACTAAAAACCATGGAATTTCACATTTTAAAAGGGTAAATTTTATGGTGTATGAATCATAACTTTTTAGTATTTTGTTGCTGTTGAGAATATGTATAGCAAAACAAGCCATTTCTGCATGTACAATTTAGTGACATTGATCATATTCTTCAAGTTGTGAAACCAGTCTCACCCTCTGTTTTGGTTGTCTAGTGCCACTCTAACAGAAAATACCACAAATGCGGTGTCTTTAACAAATGGATTTATTCCCTAGGAGGCTAGAAGTCTGAGTTCAAAGTGCCAGCTCTAGGGGCTGGGTGAGAGCGTCTTGACTTTGGGCTTCAGCTCTGCTTTTTGCTCCTGGCCACTGGAGCTAGAGGCATCTCTTATCTCAGGGGGCTGCTGATTGCTGAGGCTGACAAACCCAAGGTCAACAAGTAAAATGGCACAGTCTCAATATTACCAAAGCACACAGCAGGCCACTGATTCAAGTCCATAACAGTCCTAAGATCGTTTGACAATATGGCAGGCTGCTGAATGACAACTTGGCTACCTGCAGAGACCTTTCTCAATGTTGCTTCTTATATAGTAGAAGCAGACCACATCCCTACGGCAGCTACTCAGCTGCTCCAGTAGATTCCACCATGGAGCTGATTACCAGTCTCATCATAGGGAATAACTACATCCAGCTGCCCAGCCACTCAAAACCAGGCCCAATCAAATTGACACATAACCTGAATTACCACACCCTCCTTTTCTGAGATGTTCCTCTCCTGTTATCATAAACTCACTGCCCCTTAAGTTTCTGTCTAATCTTTTGAGTTGTTGCTTTGATCTCATGTAGATAGTTCTTAAAAGAGCATACTGCTCAAGGCAGACATTTTTTACTTAATAGTTAAACTATTTTTTGGTTTAAAGAAAACTTCAGGACATTTTATCTCAATGTTGAAAAAAGAACTCCCTGTGAAAACCTGCCTTGCAAGAGGCACCAGGTTTCCTCCAGGCCAGTGGCTTTGAAACTTGACCTTGATCCACAGGAAGAAATACATTTTGTACAACAATTTGTGTACACATACATGTATAATACACAAATAGCTGAAATAAGTTTTGCAGAACAGTACTGTGTACTCTGATATTTTGCCTTCTACTTTAGTTTTTAAAATGTTGGTCACAGCCTACAAATGAGAAGAACTCACAGTATGAAAATCAGTGTTTCAGAGGGTCAAGTTTTGTGAACTTTTATTTCAGTTGATTACATGTGTGTTTTTTTAATTAAAAGCCATGGTCAAACATTTTTGAAAGCCACAGTTCTAGGCTGGGAAATGCCTTGCTTTTGGGGAAATTATAATCTTTGTCTTGGTGGCTAGGACTCATGGAGTCACCAATGAAACAATAACAATATTTACCACAAGCTAGGCACTACTCTGTTGCTAGTTGCTGTCAAGTCAGTTTCTCGACTCATGGCAACTCCATATGTGCAGAGTAGAACCGCTCCATAGTTTTCAAGGCTGTAACTTTTTAGAAGCAGATTTGCAGGCCTGTCTTGTGAGGTATCTCTGGGTAGGTCTGAACTGCCAACCTTTCAGCTCTCCCTGCTGTGAGTAGTTTCCAACTCATACCGACCCCTCCTTGAGTTTCTGAGGCAGTATCTCTACAGAAGTAGATCGCCCAACCTTCCTTCTGGGGAGTGGCTGGTGGGTTTGAACCACCAGCCTTCTGGTTAGCAATCAAATGCCTTAGGCACTATGCCACCAGAGCTCCTAACCTTTCAGCGAGTAGTCTAGCATTTTACCATTTGTACCACCCAGGTACTCCGTAGGTGTAGCTCTTAAGCATTTTAAATATATTGTTGCATTTAATGTTTTTCTTCAATATAATGATTGTATTTCTTATTTTATGCTACTGTTGTTGTTAGGTCCCATCAAGTCATCTCTGACTCATAGCGACTCCATATACAACAGAACAAAACACTGCCTGGTCCTGTGCCAGCTTCATGATCCTTGCTATACCTGAGCCCATCGTTGCAGCCACTGTGTCAATCCATCTCATTGAGGGCCTTCCCCTTTTTCATTGACCCTCCACTTTACCAAGCATGATATTCTTCTTCAGGGAATGGTTGCCTCTGACAACATGACTAAAGTAGGTGAGATGAAGTTTGGCTGTTCTCGCTTCTAAGGAGCATTCCAGCTGCACCTCTTCCAAGACAGATTTGTTAGTTCTTTTAGCAGTCCATGGTACTTTCAGCTTGCTTTGCCAACACCACAACTCAAAAGCATCAACTCTTCTTCGGCCTTCCTTATTCATTGTCCAGCTTTCATATGCATATGAGACAATTGAAAATACCATGGCTTGTGACAGGCGTACCTTAGTCCTCAAGGAGAAATCTGTGCTCTTCAGCAGTAGATTTGCCCAATGCAGTATGTCGTCTGATATCTTGACTGCTGCTTCCATTGGTGTTGATTGTAGAACCAAGTAATATGAAGTTTTTGACAACTTCAATCTTTTTCTCCATTTCTCGTGATGCTGCTTATTGGTCCAGTTGTGAGGATTTTTGTTTTCTTTATATTGAAGTGTAATCCATACTGTAGAGTATAGTCTTCAGTCTTCATCAGGAAGTGCTTCAAGTCATCCTCATTTTCAGCAAGCAAAGTTGTGTTGTCTGCATATCACAGGCTGTTAATGAGTCTTGCTCCAATCTTGATGCCATGTTCTTCATATAATCCAGCTTCTTAGATTATTTGCTTAGTATACAAATTGATTAAGTATGGTGAAAGGATACAACCATGATGCACTCCCTTTATTTTAAACCATGCAATATCCCCTTGTTCTGTTCAAATGACAGCCTCCTGGTCTATGTACAGGTTCCTCATGAGTGTAATTAAGTGTTCTAGAATTCCCATTCTTCTCAATGTTATTCACAATTTGTTATGATCCACACAATCGAATGCTTTTTCATAGTAAATAAAACATAAGTAAAGATCTTTCTGGTATTCTTTGCTTTCACTCAAGATCTATCTGACATCAGCAATGATATCCCTCGTTTCATGTCCTCTTCTGAATCCAGCTTGCATTTCTGGAGGTTCTCTGTCAATACACTGCTGCAACCATTTTTGAATTATCTTCAGTAAGATTTTACTTGCATGTGATATTAATGATATTGTTCGATAATTTCCACTTTCTGTGGGATCACCTTTCTTAGGAATGGGTACAAATATGGATCTCTTCCAGTCAGTTGGCCAGGTAGCTGTCTTCCAGATCTCTTGGCATAGCTGAGTGAGTGCTTCCAGTGCAGGATCCATTCGTTGAAACATCTCAACTGGTATTCTGTTAGTTCCTGGGCCTACTTTTTCGCCAATTCCTTCAGTGCATCCTCAACTTCTTCCTTCAGTACCATTGATTCTTGATCATATGCCACCTCCTGAAATGGATGAACATTGACCAGTTCTTTTTGGTACAGTGACTGTGTATTCCTTCCATCTTCTTTGGATGTTTCCTGCATCATTCAGTATTTTGCCCATCGAGTCTTTCAGTATTGCAACTCAAGGCTTAAATTTTTTCTTCAGTTCTTTCAGCCTGAGAAATGCCAAGCGTATTCTTCCTTTTTGGTTTTCTAACTCCTGGTTGTTGCACATTTCATTATAATAATTGGCCTTGTCTTCTCAAGCTGCTCTTTGAAATCTTCTTTTCAGCTCTTTTATTTTGTCATTTCTTCCATTTGCCTTAGCTACTCTCCATTCATGGGCCAGTTTAGACTCTCTTCTGACATCCATTTTGGTCTTTACTTCCTTTCCTGTCATTTAAATGACCTCTTGCTTTCTTCACGGATGATGTTCTTGATGTCATCCCAGAAGTCCTCTGGTTTTCAGTCTGCTGCACTAGAAATGAGAATAAACTGAGAAGCAGTTTCAACTTCGTAAAGTATATGGAGTAATGGAGATAACCATTGGAGTTGGTTCAAAGTGGCTTATCATATAGGGAGGACAAGGACTGTCTATACACACAAGATCATTGATAACATCTGCCATATGGAATTTACACACCAATGGAAGTTAAAAACAAAGGTAATGGAGCATTGTCCACCTCTGACCTCCTAGCCAGAGAGTATGAGTGAGAAGATGCCTAAAATCTCTATAGACATCGCCTTAAGAAATGAAGCCTAGGAAACCAAAACACTCAGGCAGTGTTAAAATTTGCTGTGGGGAGGAGAATCCCGTTTTATTATGTTTGAACACATTCTTTCCCTTGCTGGATAGTTTCCTTTGAGGAGAGAATTTTTTTTTTCAGTATTAATTTTCTTCAGCTTTGACTTGTCAAACTTCTCCACTGCAGAGAAGTCTTATTTATCACTCATCTTGCCTGAAGGCTTGGAGCTCTTTTAAAGGCCAACCCATGGACTGATACTGCCTCTCAGGATGAGGTTTTGCATTTAATTTTTACAATAACCTTTTATTATTATTACTCATTCATTCATTAAACAGGTGTTTATTGTTCTGTGCGCTTAGGACTAGTACTGGGTACTGTTCTGGGTATTTAGTGTATGCAGTGAGCAAAACAGAACCTATTTATACATAAGGAAGGATAAGTAACTTTCCTAAAGTCCACAAGAGTCTCTGTGCCTCCAGAGCTTAGACTCTGAATTTAAGAATTTACTGGCTGGGGCTAGGTAGCATGTGGATAGTACTGGTTTGTTTCAGTTTCCTCTTGCTTGTTCTCTTCATATCCATGATATGGATGAGCATTTACTCTCCTTACACAGTTTTACTGCAGCTCCAGATAGGCCCCTTGGTCTTTACTTTCTTTGGCAACTGGACTTGCCACTCAACTTTGAAAGCCATGTTCTTCAGCTTCTCTGTCTCTAAGTCACTTCTTGATTATTGAGTCATTCTTACTTCCAGTGCTCTGTCACTATTATTTTTAAGCCAGTGGGTCTCAGTTGGGGCCAATTTTTCCCTCTAGGGGACATTTGGCATTGTCTGGAGACATTTTTGGTTCTCACAACTTGGTGGGGAGGTTGCTCCTGGTACTAGTGGGTAGAGGCCAGGTTAAACATCCTACAATGCACAGGACAGCCCCCACAACAAAGAATTATCCAATCAAAAATGTCAGTAGTGCCAACATTGAGAAACTGTGCCTTAGACCTTTCTCATGATGTTGCTGTTTTCCCACAGAGCCACCCTCCTCAAGGTGCGTGACACGGTCAGCAGCCATGTGGAGCAGGTGTTTCATGTCTATGAGCAGCATGCAGACACAGTTGGCATTGATGCTGTCCTGCAGCCTTCAGTTAGGAGCCCCTCTGTGGCTAACATGTTGGAGTGGTTGCAAAATATTGAGAGACATTACCGAAATTCATATCCTTTGCATACATTTTAGGTATTATCCAGATCTGTTCTAAGAAGTCTTTAATTGCAATTTTCACAGGATTAGAAAACTAAATAGTTTGGGTCAGTTCTGTTTGGTTCCTGAACTTGGATTTTCTCTGCATTCCTTAGTACAGCCATTCCTTAAGTAATTTATTGGATACCTTTTACCTGCCAGGTATATTACAGGTGTTGGGAATATTAAACAAAAAAAAGAAAGTGCATAGTATGTCAGATGGTAATAAATGCTATGGAGCAAAAGCAGGAAAAGAAGAAATTAAGGGATGAGGGTGGGATTGTAATTAAATAGGGGGACAAGGGCCTTACAGAGAAAGTTACATTTGAGCAAAGACCTGAAGAGAGTTAGGAGGAAACCACGTGAATATGTGGGAAGAGTACTCCAGAGAGAACATCAAGTGCAAAGGCCCTGAGATGAGAATATGCCTGTTATGTTCAGGAAACAGCAAGGAGGCCAGTGCATCTAGCTCAGAGTGATGAGGGTTAGCCAAATAGGAGGTGAAGTCAGAGAGAAGGGGCTAGACTGAGGGACTCAAACAAAGAAACAAACCCACTCATACCAACATACAGCAACTCTGTAAGACAGAGTGGAAGTGCGCCATAGGGTTTCTGAGGCTTTGAATTTTTACAGAAACATACTGCATCATCCTTCTCCCCTGGAGTGGCTGCTGGGTTTGAACCACCAGTCTGTTGGTTAGCAGCCAAATGCTTTAATCACTTTTCCACCATAGCTCCTTAGGGGCTGATAGAGCATTGAAAAGATTTTGGCTTTTTCTCTGAGTGAGATAGAAAGCTATTAAAAGGTTTTGAGTAGAAGAATGACATTATCAGACCTATGTTTTTAATAGTATTATCCTGGTTGTGTTTTGAGGCAGGACTTGGGGTGGGTGGCAAGGATGGAAGCAGAAAGACCACTTAGGGGAGGGAATTGTAGCCTGAATGGTGGGAACACTTTTCCTTAATGAGAAGAGGAGGGTTTTATGAAAGAACCAGTTGGAGTCCTAGCTTTGTTCTCTCAATTCTTGTCTGAAGCCATCATCTACCCGCTGGCTTCAGTTTCTTCCTTTATTGGCTCCCAAACCCTAAGCTTGTCTCCTATTCTTGATTTTCCATTTCTTATAGTTGCCTCCAACTGTATCTCTTCACTGGAATTGCAGAATTAAGTTTAAAATTGGCCGCCTCCATCTAGTTTTCAAATTCAGTCCACTTTTCCTTTAGTTGTAGAATCAACCCTGTCTCATCATCCAGTCTGGAAACAAGGATCACCTTTCACCATCACCTCTTTGTTTTCTTTTTGAATTTCAGTGGTAGTGGTAAAAAACATAGCACAGCAGCAGTATGAGCAGGAGTGGTGGCTGCAGCTTATGTTACTGAGCAGTTACTTTGTGCCAGGCACTGATCTAAGAATGTTTATAGTCACCTGTCAGTCCTTTGATTGTGTTTCCCTGGTGCTGCTTGTCTTTTCCTTCTCTATCCCAGTGCCGCTCCCACAGTTTCTTACCTCTCATTTGGAATCCTGGTCATGTGTAACCTCTTGACAGGTTTCCTGTCTATAGCTTCTTTCCCTCCAAGCCATCTTCCTCCTATCCTCAGTTAGTGATCTCAATCCATTATCTTCTAGAAGTCTAGTTCTAATTATGTTGCATAGAAACTCCCAGTGGTTTTTGTTGCTAGTGGAAGAAAGTTTAGAATCCCTAGCTTGTTGCTTTTTGTGGCTCAACCTACCTTTTCAGCCACCTTTCTCTTGCTCTCTACACACTGCTTCCATTCTAGCAAAACCGGAGGATTTAATTTTCCCCAGATTCGTCCTGTCTTCTGTGCCTTTCCTTGTGCTTTTCCAATCAGCTGGAATCTCCCTGTCACTCCCTGAACTGGAGGTAGCTATCCTCTGAACTTTGCTGAGTTTTAGCTTTCTTGCCACTTAGATACTTTCTTTTCAGTTTCTGGTTGTCTTCCTGGGAGCCTGAGGAGCTCCTAGATTGCAGGACTGTTTCGTTCCTCTGCCTATAGCATAGAGCCATCTGAGTAAAGAGGTGCTAGTAGTTATGTGTGTCTCTTTGCCAGGGGATCTTGCCCACTTGCTAACATACAGTAATAGCTGCACTTTTATAGTTTTCTAGACTCTCACTAAGGGTGTCCTGGTGGCACAGTGGCTAACCAAAGGTCAGCACTAGGCTTAGCACAGTGGCTAAGCACTAGGCTGCTAACCAAAAGGTTAGCAATTTGAAGCCACCAGCCTCCCCACAAGAGGAAGATGTGGCGGTCTGCTTCTGTAGATTTATAGCCTAGGAAGCCCTATGAGACAGTTCTACTCTGTCTGACAGAGTCTCTATGAATTTAAGTCAACTGGACAGCAATGGGTTAGAGTCTCATCTCACTATTTTTTTCTTGAACACCTTAATTTTCTTTTTGGTCAGTCCTTAACTTCCAGGAAGGTACCTAAAAAGAAAGTACCTCTTCTCCTCAATCCAGTGGGGAGATTTGGCAAATATCCAAGCTTTGCCCAAGGCCTGGGACCAAATACCAGAAGATGAACACCAAGACTTTGTGCAAGGTACTGGTTTTCGTTTATCCCTTGATCGCTCCTCTCCTCTCTTCCTCTATGTCCCACATCTCACAGCCTCTGTGTGTTTTATGAATCTGACATTCTGTGTCGTCTGGGGAGATGGTGTACCACAGAGAGGATTTTTCTCTCTTCCTGTTCCAGATACCCTATTGAATGTTTCCTTCTTCTTGGAAGAGTAAGGAAGCTGTGTGTTTATCTGGAGACCAAGGGGAGCACAGTTGAAGTCTGACTTGGTATATTTTTATATTTCTAAAGGAATGTCAATATTGCACCATGACATACTTGAAACATCGATGCCTGGAATCTAAGGACTGGGTCTTGGGAGGATTGGTGCTAGGTGTTTCTGATGTTAGAGCTTCTCCATGCCAGGCCATGGCTGGGAGTACATGGACAACCCTTGCCATTTCCTGAGGCTCCAGAAAGTGGATGGAGGCAGAGAGAAAGCCAATGCTGAAGAACATTTGGGGTAGAAACAACAGCAATAGAAGTGGTGGGGAAGGAAAGGACAGGAGGTAAAGGGCAGCACTACAGGACTGCTGTCACCTTAGATGTCATGTGTATCACTGAGCCTGGTTGACACCAGGTCCTAATTTCATCATGTATTTGTGTCAATACTTGACTCATTGAAAAAAGAGAATAGCTTTGATGATTTAAAGAAATAAGGTAATTTGAAAATCATTAATTTTTTTTTTTTTTTCTTCTCGTGGCTCAATGTCACCAAATGATAGATAGGCCTGTAAGGTGAATAATAATACCAGGAAGGTAAGCACTCATTTAGAGTAGTCAACCATATGAGATCAAAAGGGCAGCCCAGGGAGAAAGCTCAGAAGGCAGGAAGGGACAGGAAAGAAGGATGAAGGGAAATGGTAAACACAGGAAGGAAGTGGGAAGAGTGCTGTTACGTTGTGGGGATTGCAGTGAATGTCACAAAACAAAATTATGAATTGTTGAATGGAAAATCGGTTGGTTCTGTGAACTCTCACTCTGATCACAATAAAAAATTTTTGTTTTGCATTAATGTACATCAGGGCAATTTTAGATTCCAGAGCCTGCCACCAGGGGGAGGCGGTGTAGCATGAATTATTAAGTGCTTTGTCTTTGAAGAGTGTTCCCCTCTTGTTGCTCATCCCTTTCGTGAGCAGTGTGAGTAGGGCATCCACCTACATTGTCCGTCTTTCAGGTTTATTGAGAAGCTACTATTCCACTGACAGCACCCAGGCAGGTGGGGACCTACCTGTATGACTGTTTGAAATGGAAGAAATGGGTGTGTGCTGCAAATAGCTGTTTTTACAGGGTATTATATGACGTATTGCATCCTGGAGGTGTGATTGTGCAAAATTTTTGTCTCTTTTGGCTTTTGCACTGCCAGATAAACCTTGTAAGTATATTTCAGGTTCCTGTGCATTGTTTGGAAGTTGCATTTCTTATTATAATTCCATGTTCATGTGAATACTGCCATTTTCAGGCATCGTACATTGTATGTACCTGTCAAAGGATCTAGCGGGCGATGCAGAGTACAGCGGGACATGCATGGTCCACATAACCCTACCCTCAGAGTCCGGAGGGATATGTACGTCCCATATGATTCTACTCCTCTGAGTCCATAGTGATACGTGTGCCCCACATAAGCCTACCCCGGAGTATAGAGGAACATATGTGTCCTGTATAATCCTACCCCAGAGTACAGAAGGACAATGTGTCCCACATAATATGTACCAGAATCCATATTTCAGACACTCAATGACTCAGCATGCATTCCATTAATGAAAAAATATTATATAAACAAAAATTTAAAAAAAATATTCATTCTTGAAAGGGTTAATTGAGAGTAAGTAACTGGGGTCATATTACTATAAAAGAAGGCTTTTCTTTCACCCTGTGGTTTTTAACTAGAATAGTAAAACTCCTAAACTGAGATATTTTTCACTCAACGCTGGGAACTAACTTGCTACATTCCCCTGGCTTGGCGTGGCTGCTTGAGTGGGAGGACGTCAGCCCAGTGTCAGAAGGTTATAAGGCCTAGTGCCTTCATTGGTGAGACCTGTCATCTTTCCCAGGGTTGTGAAAATCTGGGTCATTAGATGTAAAGGAGCCTAATAAAGAGTATACCTACTTCTCGTTATTGACATGGTGAGGTTCTAAAGGCCAGGTTGTTATGTAGAAATCAGTGTTATGCAAAGATGGAGGTTTTTTTCTGTTTTCAGACTATCCATTTGTGCGATTTTTTTTCATTTAGAAAATCCGATCCGGGTCCAGTTATGGATTCTTCCTCTGCAGAAGGAAATTTGGAAGAGACAAAGCTGGATAAAGCCAGGCTGTGTGACTGGAGGGCCTGCTTAACCACTTCATCTTCCTCCTGTGCTGGGTCAGAGCCTCCCTCAGGGAGCCGCCCCCAGGGCTTCACTCCCACCGCTGTAAGCCCTGCATTCTGGCTACACTGCCCTCTGGCCTGGTGAGTCATCAAGGCTCCGGGCTTCCTGTGAGAGCACTGGGAGCTTGGCTCGTACCTGACCCCTCTGAAGTGGAGGCCTCAGGCCCAGTTTGTCTCACTTGGGGATTCCATTAAACTCGCATGCATTTCTTCCAAACAGCTTCTCTGATACCTCTTTCTTTCCTCCCTTTCCACCCCACAACAGTTTTGAGCTGCAGTGCCTCCAGCCTCTTAGGAACTAGGAGCCCAGAACAGGTGCTTGCTGGCGGCTCTTTGCTGCCTGTGCAAAGGCCATGGCCACGTAGGAGGTTGCCCCATACAATAGTTGGACATCATGCCCCCATTGGCAGGAGGGAGCAGAGGGTGTGGACAGCATTTCCCAGCTTCCCAGAGGCTGCCTGGAGACTGTCCTCAAGAGAGGGAACACTGTGGCTGGTGTGGTGCCATCATACCTGCCACCTTGTTAATGAACAAAATAGTAGATTGCTTACATTTGTTGTAGATGCCAAATGTCAGATGAAATCGTTGATAAGTGAGGAGTAGGTGTATATATATTTTTCAAAACGAAAATTAAACAAACTGCCTTGGAGTCAATTCGACTCATAGTGACCCTTGGGTTTCTGAGGTGGTATCACTATGGAAGGAGATTGCACAATCTTCCTTCCGAGGAGTGGCTGGTAGGTTTGAACCTCCAGCCTTCTGGTTACCAGTCAAATGCCTTAGGCACTATGCCACCAGAGATTTGATTTTTTTCTTTTTTTGTTACTGTAATAAATGTAAATGAAAATGGCTTTGTTTTTTCTTACTGTAAAAGTGATACATGCTTTTTAAAATACTGTAGAAAAATTTAAAATGTAAAGGTATGAAACATACTTTAATATGTATACTTTCAGTGTCTATTTAAAACTTTTTGAACAAATACAGTGTTAATGATACGTGTGTGTGCGCGCGCACGCGCGCGCATTATGTGCCATCGAGTCGGACCCGACTCAGTGACCCCTCCTTGGGTTTCCAAGGCAGTATCACTACGGAAGTAGATCGCCTCATCTTCCTTCCAAGGAGTGGCTGGTGGGTTTGAACCGCCAGCCTTCTGATTAACAGTCAAGTGCCTTAGACACTATGCCACCAGAGCTCCTTAATGATACATACTGGTATTTAAATTGTATTTTTAATTGAAGCGTTATAAGAAAGTGAAAATGTACATTGCCTACCTGCCAGATACCCATTATTAACAATATAGTATATATTCTTCCAGGTATTTTATTTTTATTTATTCTATCATATACATAATTATTATAAATATAAACTCAAAGGACATATGCGTATTGGGCCTTATGATGGGCTCTTTGGACAGAGATGAGAGACCTAGAAAGGTTTTCAGGTCAACTACAGAAAGATTTAAGCCAGTGTTCCTCAAACTTTAATGTGCATATAAATCATAGGTATCTCATTAAAATTTAGATTCTGATTCTGTAGGTCTGGGTGGGGCCTAAGACTCTACATTTCTAACAAGGTGCTAGATAACACTGATGGTCCCAGCACCAGACTTTGAAACACAGAGATTTAAACTAATACACTATTCCTTGAGTCACCTTTCAGGCCTGGCATTGAAATCACTCCCGTGGCTTAGCTCTCAACCCAAGTGACAGACAGGCCTGCGAGCTGAACACCTACACCAGGGAGATGCACTCCTTAGAACAACCCACGGGAGATCAGGAGAGCAGCATTTGTGCTGGGAGAAAGGTAGGAGGCAAAATACATAGGCAAGAAGGACACAGGTAAAGGGTGACCACAGGGAGGAAGAAGAAAGTGAGCTGATACACTGTGAGGAATGTAAACTATAAAGAGTGTTGTAGTTGAGGTAAAAACAGTGCTATGATGGAATGAAGGCAATAACTAGCTGCCTGAGGGAATATAGTTCATAGAGACAGTGACAACTGAGTAAAGACTGAGGGGAGTTTTCCTTGGGGCTAGGTGGAGGGTGCAGGGCGATCCGTGCAAAGGGAACAGCCTCAGCAAAGGCAATGTGTGTGAAAGATTTGGTGGTAACGATTATTGAAAGTTTGCTGTGTGGTAGGCATGGTATCTGGTGCTTTCGTGCACGCCTCCCCCATCCCCCACCCCAGAACTGGTAAATATTAATAGCTCATTTTAGCAATTGAGTGGAGTTTATAGAGGGGTGGAAGAATGACAGGAAATGGGTCAATAAAGTGGACTGGGACCCAACTGTGAAGAGTCCTGAATGCCTGGCTCAAGAGTTTGTATTTTCTGCAAATGGGAGTTGCTGTATGTGTGTGTGTGTGTGTGTGTGTGTGTGTGTGTGTGTGAGAGACAATAAAGAACTTTCCAACCTCACTGAAACATGTAATCATGACTATAAATACATACATACATTATGGTGCTTAATAATAACTGCATATTATTTGTGTACTTGTTTTCATTTTGTTCCCTTAGCTTCTCTTCTATTAAAATGCTGTCCTCTTTAATTATTCCTTTAAAATTTATTTTCTGAATAATTGCATGATTCACATTGTATAAAATTCTTGCATCACTTGCCCTGAGGGAAGTCAGCTGCGAAGCTGTAGGGCAGCCCTGTGGAGAGGCTCCTGTGGTGAGATGCCTGCCAACAACCACTAGAGAGCAGATTTCCCCCTCCCCAACCTCACTTGGAAGGAAGGTTGGGCAATCCTACTTCCGTAGTGATACTGCCTCGGAAACCCAAGGAGGGGTCGCTATGAGTCGGGGCCG